CTTTATAGTGATAGTGTAAGTAAATAATTATTATTTTTCATTGATATCTCTCATATTAATAAAAAAAAAAAAATATTTTCTCTTTTTACATTCATAGAATCCATTAGAAGTAGATTTAGTAATAAACTTACCTCATGACGGCGTTAGACTCATATTTGATCCAGTGGTGCAGAGGCTTAAAATAATTGAAATTTATAATATGAAATTAGTTAAATTGAAATATTGTGGTTTGCCATTCAATTCACCCGAGGTATTACCATCGATCGAACAAATTGAACATTCGTTTGGAGCTACTCATCCTGGGGTATATGATAGCGAGAAACAGGTATTATAATTATATTTATAATAAATTTTTTTATTATGTTAAAATATGATTTGAGAAATTTATTAAATACTTATTTCTTCTTAATTAATTGCTTAGGTTTTTGTGTTAAACTTCAGAGGATTGTCATTTTATTTTCCAATTGATTCAAAATTTCAACCAGGATATGCACATGGCTTAGGATCATTACAATTTCCAAATGGTACTTCTCCTCTTGTTGCAAAAACAGCTATTTATGTTGGTAATATGGCTACTGGTTCCAGTAGCGAAGAACATAGTTTAAAAGCCCCACCACCGCCATTACCACTTGTAATTATTTTTTCTTGATCAATTGATATAAGTAAAAAAATTTGTCTAAATTATTATTGAATATTAAATGTTGACATTTTAACAGGTGTGTTATCATAATAATTTATATTTGGAAAAGGCTGAGGTTATACGCGATAAAACACATACACGAGGACTCAGACTACACCTTTTCACCGAAGGAAGTTCCGTAACAAGGGTGCTATTAGAACCGAAGAAGCGATCTCTCACCAAAGAAGTATCTATCTATACTTATTTAACATTATATATAATCTACACGTTTGATACACAATTATTTAAATTATAGATTTTATTTGGTGATACATGCGAAGATGTACTAAGTGCTCTTGGTGCGCCATCAAGAGTGTTTTTTAAAGCAGAGGATAAAATGCGAATTCATAGTCCTCATGCACATAAACGTGATAAGATTAGAAGGTCTGATTTTTTTTATAATTACTTTACGTTAGGATTGGTAAGTATTAGTCGATATTAAATAAAATTCATTTGTAAAATTTATGATATATTATTGTCTCTTTTGATTCCAGGATATATTATTTGATGCCAAAACTCAGTGTGTAAAGAAGTTCGTTTTACATACTAATTATCCGGGACATTATAATTTTAATATGTACCACCGTTGTGAATTTATATTAATTTTACCTCCAGAAAATAATTCCACTGAGTCGGGTAAACTTATTGACGTTTCCCCATCTCCAGTTACGGTAATTTTTTTTTTTTAATACAATTAACTTTTTCATCTTTAATGTTAATGAAATATAACGTAAGCATTGAAGATTGTTATCTCTCAGATCACTGCCTATACAAAATGGGATGGCATAAGTGAACAGTTAAAGGCAAGTGCACGTCCTGTAGTGTTAAATCGTGCATCTTCAACAAATACGACGAATCCATTTGGATGCACGTTTTGTTATGGTATACGTGATGCAATTGTTGAAGTTATGGCCAATCAGCATATTGCCAGCGTAACTCTCTATAAAGCAGCGTGACCATAATTATATTTCAATTATGGTTCATTAGAAAAAGACCACTAAAAGAAAAAAAAGAAAAGGAAAAAAAAAAAAGAAAAAAAAAAACAGAAGAAAGGCAAGCACACCTTTGAGATAGATATGAAAGCAAAACAAATTTACAGTTGATTTTTGCATATCTCTCATTGAAAGACTGCATGATAAGAGGCGTATGTTAGGTGGAAAAAATTCATAAGAACACTCATAAGATTTTTAATAATAATATGATTTTAAGATGCAAGCGTTGTGATTGAGGTAATGTTTGAGTACTAATTTGCATCGATATTATGATGTAAGATGGAGTTCAGAGGCAAAAAAAATAATTATATCGTTTTTCATAACATTTATGTATGTATTCTTAAAATTTACACTTTCTTTTCTTTTTTTAGTGACATTTAACATAAAAAAAATTTCCAACACCGAAAGATCAAATTTAATAGTTTATTTTCAATGTATTTTACAATTATATATTTATCATATAGCAAAAAAGAAAAACGTAACACTTGAGCTTGAATATATTAAAAAAGAAAAGAAAAAAAAAAGATAAAATAAAATAAAATAAAGTAAAATAAAATAAAGTAAAGTAAAA